GCGAACCTCATGGTCAGCAGTTCGAAACTACCAGCTGCTCCATGGGAGAAAGATGAGACTTTCTGCTCCTGTAAAGATTTACAGCCTCGGAAACCCTAGCATACAACAACAATGTACATCTTTGTTGTTGTTGTTATTAAGTACCATTGAGTTGGCTCCGACTCATAGTGGCCCTGAATAAGATATCCAAGGAGTGGGTGGTGGGTTTGAACTGTTGACCTTGTGCCTCAAACTGACCTTAAAGTCCAGCGCATTATCCTATAGCACCACACCAAGACTCTTTTCATTGTTGTAAAGTGCCGTCAAGTTGGTTCCGATTCATAGCGACCCTGTATAACGTTTCCGAGGAGTGATTTGAACTGTCAACCGTGCTGTTCAAACCGGCTTTGCAGTCCTGTGCATTAATCCACAGCATCACACCAGGACTCCAGTGAACAGATATGTCCTATTGCCTTGTTTCTTCGACACTGAGTAAGCCAGAGCATCCAGTGGGTGTAGACGCTTTTATGTATAGGAGAGCTGTATCTTAAAAAGATTGGGCTTGACTGTTTCTTGATTCAAAAGATCTGAGGGTAATTCATTGTAAATATCCTTGAAATTTAGTACAATAGCCACTTAAATTATTATCCTTTTAATTTTACCTTCTTTTTAGATTCATGAATCAGCGCTCCGAGCCAAGAACAGAAGACAGGTGGAAAAAAGGAAACTGGTTGCTCAGAGGCAACGTGCCCATTCTGTGGATGTGGATAAGAACCGAATGCTAAAGCCTTGGTCCTCAGATAATCCATGGATGACTGAATACATGAGGTGCTACTCGGCCAGAGCCTAAAGGCACAGTTGCCTGGACAGTCTCAAACGGATAAATGAAAGAAACAAAACAAAACAAACTGTCAAGAGAAACCAGACACAGGTTTAAGAAACTGAGTTTTCAAGGTTTTTCTTAGGGAATTTCCAAAAGAGTATATTTTGATGAATCTTGGCCACCTACCTCAACAGTAGGGCAGACAGTTGAAGCCATAGACATTTAAAGTTATTCATGAAGATAATTCCCTAAATATTTGATAGCTATTCTTATAAGGGTTTTGTTTTAAAGCATCTTACTCTTTGAAGATACTGACACCCAATGCCTTTAAGTGGCTGTAGATGCTTAGTTAGTATTCAGTATTCCTCTCTCCGTCTTGAGTTCAGACCATTTGGAATGCCGGAGCTTGTCATCCATTCCTCTGGCAGCACAGAGCTCACCTTCATTATGTTCAGTTGCCTATGTGAAAAAGTTGATAAATATCAGGTAAAAAATGAGGTTCAATGATAGTAGTGACTCTGTGAATAATAAAACCAGAACTTGGGTAGTTAGTTTTTGAAACATTAAACTTAGTTGTATTTCAGTTCAGCACCACTTCATGTTGTATATCATGTTTTAAATTATTGGAGCTGGATCAAGGCAAACTGTTCGCCTTAATTGTTATCAACCATTATTACTTGATAGTTTGAGTACATTCCAACAAATGAAGCATCAGTGCAATATGGATTTAGAGTAGTATTGGAATTCTTGTTGAGTCAAAGACCATCACAGGACCAGCGTTTGTTTTCTTTCTTTTTGCTACAGGGATTTTTCTTCCTTTTTTAGAATACAATGGGGAGTTAACCACTTGCTGCAGACTGGCCTTCTGGCACACACCTACTGTGGACTTTTGCATCTTGTCTAGTAGCTGCAATGAAATTTAGAATTTATGGTTTTAACTTCTATTTATTTTTTAAATTGTCATTGGGGATGTAGAAAAAAATTTAAGAGATCTTTCCCATCCCTACTTTCTCTTTTTCTTCTACAGAACCTAACAATAAAAATGTCTTGCTGTATAATATTCATAGTTTTGATTGCAATACATTGCCATTTGATTCTTAGCCAGTAGATCTCATATAGAACTTAATGAGAGAGAATGGTGGTTGTATATAGGCACAATGTAAGAACTTAAACTTCCTTCTCTTTATTATGTTTGCTTTGGGGGGATAGAAATAGTTTTGATAAGACTGGTTTCCATCGAATGAGAACACTTTTCTCCATTTAGCAGACTGGAATCTATGAGACGGTGAGTGCCAACGTTCTTTAATACCTGAAGATGTGTGAACGAAAATCTGGTGAGCATTTTCTTGATATTTTACTCTGGGCCTTTGAAGTACTATAGACAAATTTTAGAACATAAAATCTTCACATACTGTCACCTTATATAAATGTGTTAAGTTTTGAAATGTAATACTAAAGACTTGTGAGTTTGTTTTTAACTTTTTGGCTATTTGCATTGTAATGAAGTGAGTGATTTTATGGAGCGAGCTCTCCCAATGATTGAGATGTATATGTACTAAAGGAAAATCTTGACTTTCATGTTGTCTGAACAGCCTTGCGAGTAATTCTGGTGTGACTACTATTAAAGTCTATAAACGTTGCAGGTACCTAGAAATGAAATTAATGGGACAATCTGTGCTGGTGTAACTGCTTGTGAACCGTTATATGACATTACTTCTTGCATGCTAGGTTTTAGCCATTAAGCGCCAGCTTTTATGTTGCATCTGACAATCTTAGGAAAGATGGTCTCAAGGAGTAATTCAGGCTACATACAGATGGATCACCTTAGAAACTGGACTTCCTCTTAGGCTTTTGACTAGCCAGCCTTTCTGTAGTTTAGGAAACAGATTTGTATAGTAATGTGCTTACTACTGAAAATCCCACACAAAGAATGAGTCAACTTAGAAGGCAATATTGGTCCATTCTCCCTCCCCCTTTTTAAAGTACAAGATTTTTAAGGTACTTTTGATAAGCATGACCCACCACTGAATCATCTCCCACTCCACTGTTGGGTAGGGTTTCTTTTCTTTTTTTTTAGGGGTAAAAATGATCTTTTGCACCTAAGAAACTTTTACAGTCTTCACAGTTCTGTGGTCCCAATTTTTTCTTCTCATTTTACAAATTAATGTGGTTGTAATCATGCCCGTAGTTCTTGAGAAAACTTACAAGACAGATAATTTTAAATTATCTTTCATGTTGGAAAGGTTGGGATTGTTTGGGTATCCAATTATATTTGAAATAAAGAATAAAATAATTTCTATATAAGACTCTTTAAACTTGACTGTAAGTTCTTAATTAAAACAATTTGCCATAAATATGCTTTTTGTATTTTTGTGTTACATTTCGTTTTCATTCAAATAGTTCTTGTTTCTAAGTGCTGTCAAGCCAGTTCTGACTCACAGTGACCCTGTATAGCCTTTCCTAGGCTGTAAATTTTTGTGGGAGCAGAAAACCTCATCTTTCTCCTGAGTAGGCTTGAACCGTCAATCTTGGGTTCACAGTCCAGTGCTAATTCTACAGAGCTACTGTGCTCCACAAAAGCAATAGAGGAATATTGAAATAACTTCTGATGGGCCAAAGTGAATCAGAATCTGAATATATTCTTTCATTTAAAGCCCAGTTGTTGGTGTTTTTAGGTGCCATTG